CTTTTTGGAAATAGTAACAGAACTTTTGAAAAACAAATCACGTTTTCGACTGGACGTGGTTCCCATCCATACTCAATTGCGGTCGGTCATTTCAATGCCGACAACTTCCTGGATATCGCTGTCGCGAACTCTGGAACTCACCAAATAGGTGTACTTATCAACAACGGCAATACAACTTTCGCTAATCAAGCCATCTATTCCATTAGTGCTGCTTCTCCATATGCGATTGGCGTCGGAGACTTCAATCAAGATAATCAATTGGACATCGTCATCACTAATAAGGGCATTCAAAACATAGGTGTACTTCTTGGAGACAGAAACGGCAATTTTGAGAATCCAATTATGTATTCAACCGGATCTTATTCTTCGATTTCTGTTGCCATAGGTGACCTTAATAAGGACCATCGATTAGACATTGTCGTCGTGAACAATGATACTGGTAGCATAGATATTCTCCTTGGTTATTTTGAGGGTTTTGAAAATCAAACAAGGTATTCAGCTGGCTCTTCTCCACAATCTGTAGTTGTTGGTGATTTCAACAACGACACTCGACTAGATATCGTTGTCGTCAATGAGTATAGCAATGATGTGAGTGTCCTTCTTGGAAATGGAAATGGTTCTTTTGCAGAACAAACAAGATATTTAGTTGGTTCTCGACCATATTCTGTAGCTATTGGTGATTTCAACAACGACACTCGACTAGATATCGTTGTCGCCAATTGGGATAGCAATGATGTGAGTGTCCTTCTTGGAAATGGAAATGGTTCTTTTGAAAATGAAACAAGGTATTCAGCTGGCTATTATCCATCATATGTAGTTGTTGGTGATTTCAACAATGACACTCGACTAGATATCGTTGTCGCCAATTGGTTGAGCAGTGATGTGAGTGTCCTTCTTGGAAATGGAAATGGTTCTTTTGCAGAACGAACAAGGTATTCAGCTGGCTATTATCCATCATCTGTAGTTGTTGGTGATTTCAACAACGACACTCGACTAGATATCGTTGTGGTCAATGAGTATAGCAATGATGTGAGTGTCCTTCTTGGAAATGGAAATGGTTCTTTTGAAAATCAAACAAGGTATACAGCTGGCGAATATCCATCATCTGTAGTTGTTGGTGATTTCAACAACGATACTCGACTAGATATCGTTGTCGCCAATAGGGATGGCAATGATGTGAGTGTCCTTCTTGGAAATGGAAATGGTTCTTTTGAAAATCAAACAAGATATTCAGCTGGCTCTTGGCCACAGTCTGTAGTTGTTGGTGATTTCAACAACGACACTCAACTAGATATCGTTGTCGGCAATTGGGATAGCAATGAAGTGAGTGTCCTTCTTGGAAATGGAAATGGTTCTTTTGAAAATCAAACAAGATATTCAGTTGGCTCTTATCCATCATTTGTAGTTGTTGGTGATTTCAACAACGACACTCGGCTAGATATCGTTGTCGCCAATTGGGATAGCAATGATGTGAGTGTCCTGCTGCAATATAACAGAGGAGCGATAGCATATAAAATGGCGTATGCATCTGGTGGTGGATCTAGTCTACAAGGCGTAGTGATTGGCGATTTGAACAACGATACGAACCTGGATATCGTCTTAGCTAATTATGGCACTAATAATATTGGCGTCCTTTTTGGATATGGAAGTGGTAGTTTTGAAAACCAAATGATGCTCAGCACTGGCGCGAATTCTCATCCGATTTCCATCGCGGTTGGGGACTTCAATGGTGACTGCGTACTGGATATTGCTTTAGCCAATAATGGTACCAAGCATGCAGATGTGATACTTGGAAATGGGAAGGGAAAATTTGCAATTCAAACAAGTTATGAAATTAGTTTTGATTCACCTCCGTTAGTTATGGCTTCTGGTGATTTTAATAATGACAAACGATCGGAGATCGTGATCGTTAACGGTGGAAGTAATCATGTGGATATCTTTGTTGCGTACAATCGTGGTTCTTTTGAAAATCTAATAAGGTATTCAGCTGGCTCTTCTCCACGATCTGTAGCTATTGGTGATTTCAACAACGACACTCGACTAGATATCGTTGTCGCCAATTATTATAGCAATGATGTGAGTGTCCTTCTTGGATATGGGAATGGTTCTTTTGAAAATCAAATAAGGTATTCAGCTGGCTCTGTTCCACGATCTGTAGCTATTGGTGATTTCAACAATGACACTCGACTAGATATCGTTGTCGCCAATTGGTTGAGCAGTGATGTGAGTGTCCTTCTTGGAAATGGAAATGGTTCTTTTGAAAATCAAACAAGGTATTTAGCTGGCTCTTCTCCACAATCTGTAGTTGTTGGTGATTTCAACAACGACACTCGACTAGATATCGTTGTCGTCAATGAGTATAGCAATGATGTGAGTGTCCTTCTTGGAAATGGAAATGGTTCTTTTGCAGAACAAACAAGGTATTCAGCTGGCTCTTGGCCACAATCTGTAGTTGTTGGTGATTTCAACAATGACACTCGACTAGATATAGTTGTCGCCAATAGGGATAGCAATGATGTGAGTGTCCTTCTCGGAAATGGAAATGGTTCTTTTGAAAATCAAACAAGATATTCAGCTGGCTCTTATCCACAATCTGTAGTTGTTGGTGATTTCAACAACGACACTCGACTAGATATCGTTGTCGCCAATTCGGGTAGCAATGATGTGAGTGTCCTTCTTGGAAATGGAAATGGTTCTTTTGAAGAACAAACAAGGTATTCAGCTGGCTCTGATCCACAATCTGTAGTTGTTGGTGATTTCAACAATGACACTCGACTAGATATCGTTGTCGCCAATTGGAATAGCAATGATGTGAGTGTCCTTCTTGGAAATGGAAATGGTTCTTTTGCAGAACAAACAAGATATTCAGCTGGTTCTCGACCATATTCTGTAGCTATTGGTGATTTCAACAACGATACTCGACTAGATATCGTTGTCGCCAATTATTATAGCAATGATGTGAGTGTCCTTTTTGGCTATGAGAATGTAGTTTTTGTAAAGCAAATGATACTGGTAACTGGAAATGATTCTCGACCGCAGTCTTTAGTAATTAGTGATTTTAATAATGATAATCTAATGGATATTGGCCTCGTTAATTCAGGTGCGCACAATATTGGTATTTTTCTTGGATATGGTAATATATCTTTTACAAATCAAGTGACATATTCCATTCACCCATATTTATCTCCATGCTCTCTGGCTGTTGGTGATTTCAACAATGATACTCTAGTAGATATCGCCTTTGCTAGTTGTGAGTCAGACAGTGTTAGTATTATTCTTGGATATGGCAATGGCTCTTTTGGAAATCAAATGATGTATCCAATAAGCTCAAGTTCGTCTCGATACTCTTTAGCTGTAAGTGACATTAACAACGACGCTATACAAGACATTGTCGTCGCGATTTATGATACCAATTATCTAGGTGTATTTCTTGGACATGGTAACGGCACATTTGCAAGTATCATCTTATTTCCGTTGGACTATGGATCCAATCCATTCTCTATTGTCGTTGGAGACTTCAATAACGACAGAAAACTAGATATTGCCGTTGCCAATAATGGAACTGACAGTTTAAATATTCTTTTGCAGACTTGTTAGTTTTTCTATCTCGTATTTGATATTTTTCTATCACTCACTTATTTCGTATGCTCTTATATCTAGTAGAACCATAGTTTAAATATTCAAATCATTTTAACTGCAAACTATGAGTGGGGAAATGTTGTGTGTGTGTGTGTGTGTGTGAATGTGGGCAGTGGGTTGAGAATAATACACTCACACCCAAATCGTCTCGAGCAACTCTCTTTTTCCACGACATGTATTCGCCCAACGAGATCATTCAGTGTACATGTCTAACTGTGAAAATCATTGTGTGACGAAGTGGGTTGTAGGTGCAAAACAAGGCATTGTCTTGGCTGGTGGTCAAGGACAAGGAAATGGTCTTACACAATTGTCATATCCTCAAGGAGTCGTTGTTGATCAATTAAGCACCGTCTATGTGGCTGATCAAGGGAATGATCGAATCATGCGTTGGCTTAAAAGAGCCACACATGAAAGTGTCATTGTTGGTGGAAACCGTAGAGGAGAACAAGCAAATCAATTCAATTAACCCATAGGTTTGTCATTCGATCAACACGGCAATCTCTATGTCGTCGATTAGAAAAATCATCAAGTGCAAAAATTCAACATCGAATTCAATAAGTGAAGTAAAGAACTAGGAAACCAAAAAACAAAAAAACTTTTCTTTATATTGTAAACGTCCCAGTCATTGAATGAAGGGGAGCGTCGCCGAAATCTTTGGACTCCTTAAAAAATTTTAATAAAGTATGCGCTACTAAAACAAAACAAAATATCTGACTCAACCCAGTAACCCAATACGCCGTTTTTCGCAAGGCTTCCGAAACCTTGAAAAATTTCAACATATCCTATTCATTAATAATGAATCAAAGTAATGAAGAAACTTTGTATTTAGATGTTATTGAGATTGCTTGACACTGTTCAACACCTGAACAACTAATAGTTCTCTGTAAATCCTTAGTTTTTCCATTGATATCACGACTTCCGAAATGCATGAGAAACCTTCGAACCCTTGGACACAGTCATTCCAAAAACCGTTTTTGTCACTATAAAACGCCACGAAATCCTTAGATTCCTCTCAAAAATTCTATTAAATCCACTTACATCATAATAACGCAATATCTGACTCAACCCAGTAGCCCGTTACGCTGGTTCTATGTAAGGTTTTCGGAACCTTGGAAACGTTGAAAAATTCGAAATTTCCTATTCATTAAGAATGAATCAAAGTTATTAAGAAACTTGATTTTTTTGACGTTTCTAATGATCCCTGCACACGTCAACACCTGCGAAACTAATACTTGTCTGAAAATCCTTGTTTTTTCCATTAATCTTGCCAGAACTAAATGCGATGGAATCCTTCATATCCTTGGATTTCTTCACCTTACCACCAATCCTGACCGGCTAAAGTGTCAAGGTGTCCTTGGAATTCTGGTTCTCCTTTGGTTTCCGACAACTTCAATGGGTAGAACAGTATGTGTCAATTGTCGATAAATCTTTATTTGATAAATGAGAAACAAACTATAATATAATAAAGAGAATCGAGCAACAATTAGCATCAAACTTAAATAATTTTATGAAAACGAAAAAAAATCTTTAAAAACCAATCCGTTTTTGATCAAAACATATCCGCATTGAGTATACTAGTACTCACACCTCTACAGCTACACCGAACTTCAACCCATAAGGAACTGTTAGTGATAGGTATGTTTTGTTTTTCGGTGAAGGTCTACCGTTACAGCACAGATTTCATATCTAATCAGTTTACTGTGTGTCTCCAACTGTAGTCGAATGTTTTGAAAATAAATGTATCTCGATCTAGTAGGCTTTTACTGGCTCTATCTATTAGAAAAAGGGCTAAGTTTTGTTTTGGACCACCCCGTATAGTATAAGAGAACTCTCTCTCTCTCTTATAGGACATGTTTGTAATGTGCTATTATAAAATAAATCCATATTGGTCCGTTTTCATATAAAATTTCCCATTAATTTAAATAAACTATTGCCGATTGAATATATTTATTGTTAATTGAATATATTTATTGCTGATTCAGTATAGTTATCGCTCATTCAATATCATTATTGATCATTCGATATAATTATTGACAATTCAGTAAATTTATTCCGAAATTTCATTATTGAACATCGAAATTATTTTATTGATCAATTAAATATAACTCACAAAATTGCTTCGATTAGTCTTATGGAGTTAGATAAGTTTTTTTTTTTTTATGTTTATCAATTTAAAAACATAGGAAATGTTAACCATTGACTAAGTTAAATGAGATTTTTATCGAAATTAAAGTCTAAATAACGAATTTCATTATGAAGATCAACTTCGAAAAGAAGAGTTTTATTTATAAGATGAGATCAGGTTTTGTTGAACTTCATTTTGTTATAGTTAACAATATTGACTATAATTCAATTGAGCTGGTTATCTCTATAGATGTAAGTCAATAAACTTAGTCGTCATCGTTTGTCTCACATTAAAACAGGTATTAGACTTTCGATATTTCGAATAAATCCTCGCTCTTATTTTTTTCAATCTAAATGAAAAGCACGAAAAATTTGATTTTAATTGACCGTTTTTTAAAACGATTAAAATCAAAAAAAATCTATCTGTCCAGATGAAAATCAGATTTTTATCTTCTCAATAAAAACATGATTGATTTCAATTCATTTTCCTTAGCTTTTATTACATGAGTAAACATCAAATCATGCGATTTTAATTTTCATGGTTGGACCAGAATAAATGGTCACATTTTTATCTTATTTTTTCATCATCTAATAGATTTTATTAAAAAAGAAAATATATGGAAAGATCCAACGTGAAAAACTTGACAATCTGCAAAGTAAAGTTGACATTAATCTGTACTTTTTCGTTTGAAAAAAACAGTGAAATTTTATATACCAACATTTCGAAGCATCGAAAATTGATCGAACGGAACGTTAGCCTTATTTGAAAACAAATAGTATACAATTTAAATCAGTTTTACCTTCTAGATTGTAGAGATTTTCACGATCTATCTCGTTGGTATATTTTCTTTTATAATAAGATGAATTAGATAATCAAAGAATATAATAGAAAATCCACCAATTTATTCTCGCTTATCTTTTATTAATGGACACCTTTATCAACTGAACACGTATTTATTATCAACGAGCTTCGATTCAAGAAGGCAATTATCGTTGGAAATACCTATCTTTAATCTGAACATCTCCTAACTATGAACAATCGACACTTGTTCCTAGTCTATTTTCCTATTATAACATCTCTTCTGTCAATATGATTTTTCGATTTCTGTGTCTTTTCTATCAT